CTCCTTTAACCCTTTCAGGGTTTCCGATGTACTAGTACGTCTTACGCACTAGGGTTATGGACGTATACTAGTACGCGTAAATTCTAGCACCTTCAGATCTAGCGAGAGAAAGCTGGTAGGCCTACATATGAAAGAATGGGTATGTGGTCAGTGTGCACAGTATAAAAAAAATCCTGCAACACAGTGCATAATGAGAAAAAAAAAAACTTTGACCATGTTTTTGGTTTAACCCTTTCAGGGTCCGTCCCGTAGATCTACGGCTTTATGTTCAGGGTCCAAACCGTAGATCTACGCCATGAGCTCAGCTCACTCTGATAAACTGTGAGTGGTACATTTGGGCCTAGATATGAGAGAATACATCTATGTGGTATGTGTGCACCACATAAAACAGATCCTGCAGCACACTGTGTATAATGAGAGAAAAAAAATGAAATCATGATTTTTCGATTAAAACAGCAACTTTGCAGTGTTTTTTCGTATGTTTTTTATAGTTGTATTTGCGATTTCTTGGTCTCATTTGATAGAATGGAAGACATATTACAGAAATAGAGATGATTTTGATTGGTTTTAGCACTGGAAATGGCTTGAAACTGAGCTCAAAGTAGCAGAAATGTTAAATTTTTGCCGATATTCAAGAGTAAACAAACGACCTCACAATTCTAATACACGCCAGCTGGTGGGTCTAATATACATTCACAAATATGGTGATGATATTTATACAATTATTACAGTATTGCATAACAGTAAATCTTCTATTTTTTGGTGTGAATAAAAATTCATTATGTGAATAAAAAATCAAAATGGAATTTATTTGTAAAGCCTCAAAACATAACTAATGAACAGAGGAAATGGTAGTTTAGTGCCAGAATGCCTACATTGTTCATTCTGGACCCTATTTTGAAATTGGAATATTTTGAACTTTGTGTTAAATTGGCCAAATTAACAATTTCCGATCACTTTATTTTGTAGTTGAAACAGTTGACTTGGCGATTTCTTGTGCTCAATCGATAGAATAGAAGTAATACTAGTGAAATAGCTAAGAATTTGGTTGATTGGAATAATGTAATTGGCCTAAAATGGGAGTCAAAGTCGGCAAAATCGCCGATTCGTAAATATCGCTGACACATCAAAATTCGCGAGAGCATAATTTCGTCAATTTTCCACCAAATTTCGTACTTTTTGTTTTATTACCTTCACAAAAAGATTCTCTACGATTTCATAAGAAAAAATAACAAATTTTTTTTTTGAAAATTCTTGGACACTGGTGCGTGACTCCAGATTTGGGCCTTGGACCCTGAAAGGGTTAAAAAAAGCGACTTTGCACTGTATTTTCGTATGGTATTTATGGAAGACATATTACAGAAATTGAGATGATTTTGATTGGTTTCACAATGAAAAGTACCTTGAAATTGAGCTCAAAGTAGCAGATATGTTTGATTTTTGCCAAAGCTCAAAAGTAAACTTGACTCAAGAAATCGTAATGACACGATTGCAAACAAACCATACCCCCGGCCGGGATTGAACCCGCGGTCATAGTCATGTTGACGGCAGTGAAGGGACTTGAGCTAGAGTTCGTCACGGCCATGCTAGCTGGAGATTCGTCTGTGAAAACTTGCATTTGTGGTCACAGTGGTGCCTGTGCTAACCTTCCTATGGTGTAGAAATATACCTAGTTGGATGAATCTTATTGTGGCTAGCTGGTCTAGTGGCTAACGCGACGGGCTGGAGTTTTGAGACTATGACCGCGGGTTCAATCCCGGCCGGGGGTATGGTTTCAAAAGTAAACAAATCATGCCATACGTCCAATACACGTCAACTGGTAAGTCTAATATTCTTTCACAAGTGCGCTGATATTATTTATACCATTTCTACACTAATGCAGTAGTCTACGTAACAGTAAATCTATTTTTTACGAGAAAAATTCAAAGAAATGTTAGAGGGGCCTGGGGACGTGACTAATGAACAGAGAAAATGTTATTTTAGTGCCAGGAATGTCTTATTTATTCTGGACCCTATTTGGAAATTGGCATCTTTTGAAATTTGTGTGAAATTGGCAAAATTACCAATTTCTGACCACTTTATTGGATAATTGATATCGGTAAATGGGTGGTTTCTTGTACTCATTCGATACAAAAAATGGAGTTCTAGCGAAATAGTTATGATTTTTGTCGCCTAGTATACTGGAATTGGCCAAAAATAGGGCTCAAAGTGGGCGAAATAGCCGATGCGTAAACATCGTCAAGATTCGCTAACTTCATGAGTGCATAATTCCGTAAGTTTTCCATCAAATTTCATACTTTTAGTGTCAGTGACACTATCATTTCATAAGAAATGTTTTTTTCTCGAAAAGTTTTCGACCCTGAGAAGTTTAGGAGAGGGCCTCTCGACCCTGAAAGGGTTAATGGTTTGCAAGCTACCAAAAACTTTAATTCGCCTCGTCTCCTAGTTCTTCGTATACAGCTTTGGTTGTGCCACATTACTAGCAAAAACACATTTTGTGCTGGGTCCCTGGATGTTCTTGCAAGTTTAGCACTTCTTTATTGATTAGTGGTACATGACCTTCATGTTTCATGTAGGGTATTCCATTCTCGGACTATTTTGCTGTAATCTCTAGCCACCTTCGCAACTGTTGGCAGCAACGATGGTCTGAATTGATTCATAACACATTGTTCTATTAATCAGTGTTTAGGATGCTGGTCTTATTCATGTCATGGTTGGGAGACTATGCTTTCCCATCTTTGCATTGGGCATGTCTCACTTATGGGTATCTCGTGGAGAGGCACCTGGTTCCACACTGAGAATTGTCAGGTTCCAATTTTTTGCCATATTCTACTAGAATGTCTTGTCTATCAGCAAGCACACACAATTTACCTGTCATCACTACTCTAACACCCTTACTTTATTTTCTCTCCTTGCTGATAGCCCTACCTTTGACTCACTCCCTCTTTTGCTTTTTGAAAGAAACAGATTTATTAAACAAACATTGATTATCCTTCCTTTAGCATTTCACAGTGCCTTTACCAACTCTGTTATACTCTTCTACCCTCACTAGTCTCTGATCAAGTATATTAACCCTTTCAGGGTCAGTCCTGTATAGGTACAGCTTGATAGCCGGTGTAGGTCCTGTATTTATACGCCAAAGTTCTAGCGCCTTCAAATCTGGTGGAAGAAAGCTGGTAGGCCTACATATGAAAGAATGGGTCTGCGTGGTCAGTGTGCCGTATAAAAAAAAAAAAAATCCTGCAGCACAGTGCATAATGAAAAAAAAAAAAGGCAGTATTTTTGGTTTAAAACGGTGACTTTACAGTGTACTTTTGTATGGTATTTATGGTTGTATTCTCGTTTTCTTGGTCTCATTTGACAGAATGGAAGATATTTCACAGAAATAGAGATGATTTTGATTGGTTTCACAAAGAAAAGTACCTTGAAATTGAGCTCAAATTAGCAGAAATGTTCAATTTTTGCTGATGTTCAAGAGTAAACAAATCGCGCCACGCAATCAATACGTGTCAGCCGGTGAGTCGAATGTCCTTTCACAAGTTCGCCGATATTATTTGTACCATTTTTACAATAATGCAGTAGTTTGCATAACAGTATTTTTTTTTTTTTTTTTAGAAAAATTCAAAATGGAAAGCAAGAGTAATATAAGAGGGGCTAGGAGATGACTAATGAACAGAGAATGTTATTTTAGTGCCAGAAATCTCTTATTTGTTCTGGACCCTATTTTGAAATTAGTATCTTGAAATTGGCCATGTTGCCAATTTCTGACCACTTTATTGGGTAATTGGTAAATGGGCAGTTTCTTGTACACAATCGATAGAACAATGGAATTGGCTGAAAATAGGGCTCGAAGTGGGTGAAATCACCAATGCATAAATATTGTCAATATCGCTAACTTTGCGAGAGCGTAATTTTGTACTTTTGGTGTCATTACCACTGGGAACCCCTCAAGGAAGGTTCCTTGATGTTGGTGAGGGGCTCTTCATTTAGGGAATTGGATCTGTGCTCCAGTTCCCTGAATTAAGCCTGAATGCCTTCCACATCCCCCCCCCCAGGCGCTGTATAATCCTCCGGGTTTAGCGCTTCCCCTTTGATTATAATAATAAATAATACCACCGGGAAAAATTCTATCATTTCGTGAATTTTTTTTTTTTTTTTTTTCCGACCCTGAGAGCAAGTTAAGGATCGGGGGTCTTGACCCTCAAAGGGTTAAACCTAGAGCATTCCCTACCCTGCAGCACTGTATGACCCCTTGTGGGTTTAGTGCTTAGCTATGATTATATTATAATCCATTCGTCTTCAACTATTACCAAATCTTTTTTTCTTTACAAGAATAGGCCTACTGGTCTGATGGGCAGGTCCTTCTCAAACTTGGCTAGTCTTGCTCTTATATCTATTCAGCCTATTTTTAAAGTACTCAAGGTTTCAGATTCAATATCCATACTTAGGTTACATTTACCAGTGTTGTTACCAAACCACTAATTTCCTATATCCTTTCTAAATTTAAAGCTACCCGATGATGCCCCTTACCTAATGTTTAGTTTTTTTTTATTTTGGGTGACCTCAAAGAATATAGGAAAGCACTGGTTCAGCAGTAGTAGTAGAGAGGGAACTAAATTTAATTATCTTAACTGATCTTTAAAATTAATTTAAAAGTACAAATATAAATCCCAAATATTTTTTAAATGAATAGTTTGCCTAAACTAATGATATCTGCAATGACAAATACCATATACGAACATGTTAGTTTAGTATTCTGGGGCATAAATGATTGTATTCACATTAGGATAAACAAAAAATGGCATTATTAAGACAATGTAATTAAGAGGGAAAACTAGATGTGAACACTTTTTAAATCCAAGCCAAAAGTCTGATGTGTAGCCCTATAGGGAAAGATATGTCATTCTCTTCAGGATGCTACATAAAAACTGGGTTTCTCCCTTGAAATATTACTTAATCACATAAAAAAATGGTATACAAATTACCCAATGTTCAATTACCTTTAATACTAGTACTACAGTATCCCAGAGAGTACACTTTGAACATGCTATGACTAGCAATGCTATATAGCCTTTGATGAATAAACATGAGCATTTGTTTTTAATGCTACAATTTCTTACAACATTATATTAAGTCTTCAATGGACATTAAATATATGAATGGCAATTATTGATAAATTTGACAGGTCTTTCAATTTGTTACAGAAGGAAGAACAATGTCTCAAACTACAAAAAAATGACCAACCATAAGCTTAATAATCTTTGATAAAACTGATTAATCCTGTAAAAAATGAATTATCAGTTAATGAATTTAAAAAAATATATCCTTTTATAATGAAGACTAATCAGTTCCATGACTGCTGTGGAATTTCTTGTATGAAAGCCACCTGCCTTTATTATGGACCCTATCACATTGTTAGCTAGCACTATGCAGTTGCATTATCATGATTCTTGCAGGAGGAGATGTGTGGCTGTGTTTACATCATTATTGCATGTCTGAAGTGCATTTATCACTCTCTGACGATCAAATCCCATCTCTACCAGAGTCTGAACCTGCTCTTCTGTTGGGGGTGGAGCAGGATGAGCTGTAAAAAAAAAAAAAAAAAAAATATATATAAACCACTGTACTTCTTAATGTTACATTAAATTGCATGTCACTTTTCTTAATAAATTAAGAATATTCCCCTTCAGTGAGGCAAGGAACCCTCCTTGAAGCTTAATCTGAGAAACCAAAACTTTCTCCTCCTCGGATCAAATCTAAACACCCTATTCCCCCCCCCCTCCTATGGATCTCATTAGCTGGAATATTTTAGAATTCTGTCCTCTTAAAAGGTGGGGGTGGGGGGCAGGGCTCCTTGTTACGGTAAGGCTTTTGGGCTGAGTCTTCCTCTGACCGAACTTCATTACACCCCACTCCTCCCTTCCCTGCCCCCTCTCATCCTCTTCACCCTCACCTAGTATCAGACCACGCTTATTAAACCTTTAGCACCCTACCTTGCAGTGCTGTATGACCATTGTAGGTTTTGTGCTTAGTTTGATTCTAATAAATCCTTCCTTTCCTGCTTTTGGCCTTTGGGTCCTCCCCCCAAAATTCTAGCTCCTAAGCTGGAGAAAGGGTGTCAGTGTCATTCATTCCATTCCATTAAAGGCTCTTGTTGGTGTTTGCCAATGAATCTAGATCTGGGGATGCTCTGATCCAGAGTCCCAGAGGATGGCTTATGGTGTCCTTTGGGCAACGGGTGCATCTCTGGAGGCTGCCTTTGGGTTCTGGGAGGTAGTAGCTGAAAGAAATTTGCTTTGTGGCAGGCTTCCAACTGCCCTCTCGTTCATCCACCAAGGTGGCTCAGTGGATGCAAGGTTGCTATCTTGGATTGCTAGTTTACCAGTGTGAAGGGTAGGGTAGGGCAGGGCACGGGTTTCATGCTGCATCTGCACTACTGGTTGCACCAAGGGCCCTCTTGGGTGCAGGGAGGGGGGGGGGGATATACAATCCCTTTCATTTCTACTAGCTACCCCTCCATGTACCCCCATAAAAGAAAAATTACCATAGTCCCAGGTCCATGAAATTCCTTTGCCTGGCCCCCTTTCTCCTGTGGCACCTGTACTGTCCTTAGATCATTCTTCAGAACTCGGTACCTTCTTCAGGTAACATTTTGTTGCCCACCTCTGGTAGAGAGGTTCTGCCCGAGCCTTTTGATATGTCCAACCTCTGCATATCTTTGACCATGCTTCTGGCTTCCTCTACAGTGCAATGATTTTTAGACTGCCTACTTATCTCGGGACAGACCACCTCTGGTCTCCCACCTAAACGACCATGACCATTAATGGATGGCACTGTCCCAGTTACCTCTCGCTCATCACACTTCCCTTACACTCTACATTTCAAGGTACACAATGGACTAAGTTCTTCACTCTACAATTGACATCTCCCACTGACTTTCAGATCACAGGATCAAGCAAGGCACTCCTATGCCGTGTTGGTCAAAACGTTTCATTTCATTCTCTTAGGAGTGGTGCACACACAGTCATGGTACAAAATGCTGGACAGACTCACGATCTTTCCATTTTTACCTGTGCTATTCCTTTCACTATTTGTAAATACATCTCTCAATTCTTGCAGTGGAACCATAGTTCTTCCACATACTATTGTTCAATGTGATTTCCTGACTCATGATGCAGACATTATGGAACAATCTGAGCTCCAAGACCTCCCAATTCTTAATGTGGCCACTGTTTATACTGTAGGATGCCATTTACAAGTATGAGAATTGATCCCTACACCACAATGTAGAAAGTTGTTCTGTTCTGTTGTAGATTCGATGGTACAAGCACCCGGCCTGGGCCTTTTCAAAGAGGTGGCCTGGCCTTGGCTCCCAGGAATGGAAGTGTCTTGAAGGGCATGCCAGCTGCACAGCAGCAAGCAGTGTCGGAAGGGCTGAGAAAACGGGCATTACAGGGTCAACTGGAGCCACGCCCATTTTAGACAGATGTCTGAGTGTTGGGGACACTCACTTCATGCTGATTGGTCAATGAAGTTATGGCTGGCCATGGATGGGGCCATTTTTGGACTTGAATTTTGTTCTGGAGACTTGGATCACCTAGATCTTTCTGATTGTGTTGTCTATATGCTTTTCTGTGTCTTCCATCAGTATTTGATGTGTTTCAGGGTCAACATCGGTGAACTTTACAGTCCCGTCTTGTAGTCGGGAGTGTAATTCTCTGCAGTACATTACATTACTGTGAGGGGCAGTTGTGTAGAGCAACACACCTGGCCAGCTTGCACAGCCAGGCCTGCTGAACTTGTCGTTGAACTGTTCTTCAAGTGGTTGTGTTGATTTGGGTATGTCTGTTGACTGTTTCTCTTGGGGTGAGGTCGCTGATTGGTCCATTACCGTGGAGGCAGTTTGTGGTGGTCTCATTGGTGGGCTTGGGAGTCATTTTGACACTCTTAGGTGGTGGTGGAACTGCTGGGGACAAACTTTCTGGTGGTGAGACAATAACGCTGTTGGAAGTGAACTTGAGTATGTCAGCAGGTGAACAGTCCGGGAATATGAATTATTATTATCAAAAAGAAGCGCTAAGCCACAAGGACTATACAGCCGGGAATATGAAGCTAGGCATGTTTAGCCTGAAGAGTTCATTGATGACTGTTGAAGGATCCTGGTTTTGCTATATTGTGCATGTGGGTATACATCATACAGTAATGGATTTTTGTGGGTTCACAGTCTGGTATGAGGTAGCACACTGCTGGTGGAGAGTATAGACTGCGTGGTCTTAAGTATTTTAGTGGTGTCTGCTTGCAGTTTTGTGATTGATCATATGTTTGAGACCTTGTAGTTGTTTTCTGTTGTTCTTGGGTTTTCTCGAGTACATATTCTCATCTTGCTGGACATTTGGCAGCTAGGGTGTGGTGCTCATTCTTGCAGTTCAGGCATTTTGTTGTAGTGGAAAGTGCTGGTGCTTTGGCCACCCAGCAAAACTCAACAGTGTATGGATTTTGAAGCAGAAAAACTAATAAATTTGTCTAGTGATGCTAGATGTGTTTACAAGGTATGAAAACCAAAATTTCAGTGCCACAAGCACAACAGTTCACTTTGCAACATCTATGAAGGGCTTGTAAATGCATTAACCCAACTCGATTTGTTTTTGTCCCACATCTTGCACAACAAATTCCAATTCCTAAATCCACTACAAAAATGAGTAAGAAAGCTAATTTCCACTAGGCACCTCTACTCCACCTACTTTCTCTGCCTGCCCTCCTAACAGTCCCACTTTTATTGTTGACTCAAGGATTTTTTTTTTTTTTTACCAATTCTGATCCCCCCTCCCACCTTTGCTTTCTTTCTGCTAATGTCCTTCCCTCAACCCCATCTCTCCATCAGTGCCATTGCTTTTACATCTGCCATGCAGAGATATGTGATCCTTGTGTGCTCAACGCTTCCACGATTGTAACAATACCAGCAATTTAAGCGTGGGAAAGAAAAATAACCATGACACTTATAAACTAAATAATGTAGATCTTAATATCACTGATTGCAAAAAAAGATTTAGGGGTTCTGGTTAGCAGTAATTTACAACCATGACAACAGTGCATAAGTGTTTGCAAATAAAGTGAATAATTTTCTGGGTTCATATCAAGTACAGTGGACCCCCGCATACCGTCGCCATCACATAACGTACAATCCGCATACCGCTCGCTTTTATCGCAAAAATTTTGCCTCGCATACCGCTCAAAAACCCGCTCACCGCTCTTCGTCCGAGACGCGTCCAATGTGCGCCCTTAGCCAGCCTCACATGTGCCGCTGGTGGCATTGTTTACCAGCCTGCCTCCGCGGTAACATCCAAGCATACAATCGGAACATTTCGTATTATTACAGTGTTTTTGGTGATTTTATCAGCCAAATAAGTGACCATGGGCCCCAAGAAAGCTTCTAGTGCCAACCCTACAGCAATAAGGGTGAGAATTACAATAGAGATGAAGAGATCATTGATAAGTGTGAAAGTGGAGTGCGTGTCGCCGACCTGGCCAGGTTGTACAAGAAACCCAAATCAACCATCGCTACTATTGTGGGCAACAGAAAGGCAATCAAGGAAGCTGTTCGTGCCAAAGGTTTAACTGTTTTCAAAACAGAGATCGCAAGTGATGGAAGATGTTGAGAGACTCTTATTGGTGTGGATAAATGAAAAACAGCTAGCAGGAGATAGCGTTTCTCAAGCGATCATAAGCGAAAAGGCTAGGAAGTTGCATGAGGATTTAATTAAAAAAATGCCTGCAACTAGTGATGATGTGAGTGAATTTAAGGCCAGCAAAGGTTGGTTTGAGAGATTTAAGAAGCGTAGTGGCATACATAGTGTGATAAGGCATGGTGAGGCTGCCAGTTCGGACCACAAAGCAGCTGAAAAATATGTGCAGGAATTCAAGGAGTACATAGTGAAGGACTGAAACCTGAACAAGTGTTTAATTGTGATGAAACAGACCTGTTTTGGAAGAAAATGCCAAGCAGGACCTACATTACTGAGGAGGAAAAGGCACTCCCAGGACATAAGCCTATGAAAGACAGGCTTACTTTGTTGATGTGTTCCAATGCTACTGGTGATTGCAAAGTGAAGCCTTTATTAGTGTATCACTCAAACTCCCAGACCGTTCAGGCAAAAGAATGTCCTCAAGGAGAATTTGGTGTGCTGTGGAGGGCAAACAGTAAGGCATGGGTCACTAGGGACTTTTTCTATGACTGGTTACACCATGCATTTGCCCCCAATGTGAAAGATTACCTAACTGAAAAGAAATTAGAACTTAAGTGCCTCCTGGTGTTAGACAATGCCCCTGGTCATCCTACAGACGTGGCAGAGCGACTTTATGGGGACATGAAATTCATTCAGGTGAAGTTTTTGCCTCCTAATACCACTCCTCTCCTGCAGCCCATGGACCAGCAGGTTATTGCAAACTTCAAAAAACTGTACACAAAAAGCTGTTTGAAAGGTGCTTTGTAGTGACCTCAGAAACTCAACTGACTAAGAGAGTTTTGGAGAGAGCACTTTAATATCCTCAATTGTGTAAACCTTATAGGTAAGGCTTGGGAGGGAG